TACACCTACCAACGTGAACATGTGGCCTTGTTACATCAGAAACAGTGGAACATAACGCGCGTACCGCTTCAAGGTATCTTTTTGTGTTGTAGTCATCTGGATATGTACAGCATCCTGGGCGCACGCGCAGACTCAACACTTTGTCATGCCGCTATCCAAAGTATACTAACCACGACGGAAAGATTGGGAGTTCTACGGATTAGTATATCCATCACCGTGCCGTGTCCGTGTGAGGTTTTACCCTCTGGGCTGAATTGCCTCACCCGTTGCGGTCTCGGACCCCCGCTGTCCCGCACTCTCGTGCCTCAGATCTTCGACCCCCTGGGCCTATCCGACGGCGCCGCCCCCGGCGACATCAAGAAGTGGCGCGAGGCCGAGATCAAGNCCCCGACTACATTGGCCCCGCCGTGGACCACTTCCAGGAGATCAGCGCCCAATTCCCTGAGGTGAGACTGGCGCATTTTGTTGCTTACATGATGTGTGAGGCAATTGAGAAGTCCGGTTTGATAATATAATGTACCAAGTGGTGTTAGTTCGGCGACTCGGGTGAAACACGCAATTCTCTTGTAGACCGACCATTGCTGGAGAAGTTTTACATACGTGATTCCAGCAACAAATTTCCTGTCCCCTCCCTCCAGCACCGAACCCGAGTCCTACATCTCGGGGTGGCGTGACCTCACGAGAGCAAGACACCATCTGTACACTTGAAACGAAAAACAGTGTAAGGAGATGTTGCCAGTGATGTGGTGCCGACATGCTGGTATCAGTTGGTTGATCCAGTCAGTTGTAGGTTGCGCGAAGGCCCCTGCAGCTTGTCCAAAGTAGCATAAAGTACTCCCGTGCATGTTCCTCCTGGCATAACGTGGATGCTGTGCTGCCAACGATGCCACCCTTCCCACGACACCATGTGGTCGACGAGTGCTGTTTGTTCACACAACCATCCCCTCTCTTGTGTCTCTCTGCCCGTCATTCCCGTGTCTCCCCAACCTCAGTTCTGGGCGTTCTCCCTCCTGGGCATGGCCTTCATCGAGTACAACACCATCATGACCGCCTTCGACACTCCCAGCGCTGTCACCGGCGAGGGCGGCCTGAAGGAGGACTACATGCCGGGAGACCTCGGCTTCGACCCCCTCAACCTCAAGCCCGACGACGAGGCGGCTCTGGACGTGATGAAGACCAAGGAGCTGAACAACGGCCGTTTGGCCATGATCGGCATCGCCGGCATGTTGGCGCAGGAGCTGGTCAACCCGGCCGACATCCTCGGCTAGA